AATAATTTTTAATTTTATTTAAAAAATTATAAATACTTTTTAAAATTCCAGGCAAATTTGTCTGGAATACAGTTTAAGAAATACTATTATTTATCTCAATATTTTGATCTATACTGGTTTCAATATTAGCAGTATTACTATAATTTTTTTTATTTAAGTTAGAGTTTAATTCATTATTCTAAATTATATAATTAGTAATTACTATAAAAAAAATTAAATAATAATATAAAAAAATAAATGATTTATAGCTTCTTGATTTAATTTGATAGTTTGATTTAATTTAACATTTTGATTCAATTTATTTGTTTAATTTAATTTAATATATTGATTATTTGATTCAATAGTATGATTTTGTTTAGTACTTTGATTCAACTTAATACTTTGATTTAATGTAATGTTTTAACATAATTCAACACTTTGTTCAGACTCAATATTTTGGTCAGATTCGATAATACATTCAATATTTTGTTTAGATTGAATACTTTGTTCAGATTTAATAATTTGTTCAGATTTATTATTTTGATTTAATTTACTATTGTTATAAGCTTTATAATTAGTTTCAAGAATTATTCTATCAGTTAATTCTTCTTCATTAATTATATTAGCTTTATAAAATATAGTAAATAAAGGCAGATATATTTATAGTTTTTGACTAAATACTAATTCATAAGGAGTATATTTTGTAATACAGGATATTTCAATATTCATTGCATATATTGCTAATAGAAGTTTTTATATCCAATTTGTACTTTTTTCATCTTTTATCTATTTAGATAACTTACATTCTAAGCTATCATTTGCTTTTTTAATAGAGCCCCGAGACTCTAGATACTATGAGCATCTATTAATAATTGGCTATAGAAATATTAATTAGCAAGTTATACTTGCTATAAATTCTTTACCATTATTAGTATGTAAGATAACAGAAAAGCCAAATATAATAAAAATATTAAAAATTGCAATTGTAACTTCTTTAGCATATTTGAATATTAAAAGTGATAACCAGCAAAATTTTAAAAAATAATCTTTTGTATAGCATATGTATCTATATTTATTATTAGATTTACTCATTATTAAAATTAAATCAACCTATAGAAGGACCCGATTTACTAACTCTTTCCAACGATCACTTGTACCAAAATCTTGCTAAAACAAAACTTAAATTTTCTTAAA